GGCGCTGGAGGTGCCAGGGCTGGACCACTCTGATGTGCTGGGCCCACTCACCACTCCCCCTGCTGCCGCCACCACTTCCACTGCCGCTGCCCCCCGAGTCGGTTGCCCAGCCCAGGCCCCTGCAGCCACCCGGGTGGGCTGTGCCGCAGCCACCACCACAGGGGCCTGCTGGGACTGCCTGCTGGCGGCCAGGTCCGGCATGGACAACTTGATCACCTTGCGGCGCCGTTGCCACCACTGCCACCCTCAGCTTCCTTCTGGCCGCTGCCCCACAGCCGCTTGGCCATGGGCGTGCACTGCACAGAGTCCGACTCCTGCTGCTCTGTCTTGACACGACACACGAGGGCCCGCGGTTTGTCACAGGCCGGCCAGCTTGACTTCTGCACCACAAGGTTCTGGGGCTCGGACGAAGGGGCCTTCTCGGCATGCAGGCCCTGGGAGTGGCAGCTGGGGGAGCTCACCTTGAGGAAGGAGTTTTTGGCTTTCTCCACGATCTCCTGGATCTTCAGGAAGCCGGCCGTATACATGATCAGGAACTGGTCGCCCATGTTCATGCTCAGCCGGCCCGTATAGCAGAAGGTGAGGATCTTCTGGAAGGACTGGGGCTGCACGGCCTCCGGCAGCTCCACCACAGCGCTCCAGCTGCTACTGAACCGCTCGCGGAAGTAGGAGCTGCTGGCGGCCAGCACGGCCCGGTGGGCCTTGAAGCCATGGCCCTTGACCATCACCGTCACATCGCAGTACAGGCCCTGCAGCCGCTGCTCGTTGAGGAACTCCAGGATGGTGCTGCCGAAGTTCGGGATCTCCAGCAGCAGGATCTGGGCCATGGTGGCAGTGGCTGCTGCCAGACTGCGCTCAGGGGGCTTCCTGCGGGCTCTGCAGCGGCTGCTGGGCCCGGCCTGCGCCTCGGGCGCGCCCCCGTGCGCCAGGGCCTGGGCGCCGGCCCCCCGCGGCCTCCGCGACCCCCGCGGCTTCCGCCTCTGCAGCAGCTGCAGCCTCGGCGCCCATTCACTGTGGGCCAGAAGAAACAGTTTTTAAAGTCAATATTTTTAAAAAATGACATGAGACAATAATTTAAAATCAAAGGAAGAAATGAAGAGATCAAAGATGGTAAATATGTAAGTAAATAAAAGACTACTAAAATATTTTTTCTGTTAATTTTAATAAAAATGATAAAATTATATAAAGCCATAATTTAAGACTATTATTGGGCTTATTACAGATAGACTTACACTATATGTAATACTAATAGCACAAAGTGGGGAAAGGGTAAAGCTGTATTGGAGCAAAATTGTTTTATTTTACTAGAATGTAGTCCGTATTAACCTGAAGTCAGTTGTGATAAATTAAGATGAATATTGTAATCCCTTGAGCAGTCCCTAAGAAAGTAACTCAAAACTAAAGTTTAAAATAGTAAAGGAATTGATAGCAGTACACTAATATTCCCAATATTTGTGTTTGGTGTTAGGTAAAGGTTCAAGTCTTGCTTATGATACTCAACCATCCTAGTGTGACTTATTGAAAAGAATATCCTTTTCCCCATTAAATTGCCTCCATTTCTTTTCAAAAATCAACTGACCAGATACGTATGAGTCTATACCTGAAATTTCTGTGATGTTCCATTGATGTGTATGGTTACTGTTACTCTAAACACACTCTTGACAAATGTAGCTGTGTAATAAGATCTGACATTATGGAGCGTAGGTCCTCCACTTTTGCTCTTCCTTTTCAAAATTGTGTTAGCTGTTCTACTTCTTTTATGTTTCTATATATTTTAGAATCAGTTTTCCAATTTCTACAAGAAAGCTGGCTAGGTTTTTTACTGAAGTTGCCATGAATCTGCAGATAACTGAAAGCAAAGCAATATAGTCTTCCACGAACGTGGTAGTCTCTATTAATTTATGTCTTTCTTAATCTCCCTCAGCAAAGTTTTGTAGTTTCTGGTATTACAAGTCTCGCACATTAAATTATCTTGAAGTATTAGATTTATCTTGTTAAATTTATCTTGAAGTATTTCACATTTTTGTGGGTATTATAAATAATATTTAAATTCTTGCTTTCCAATAATTCTTTGCTAAAATATAGACATTCAATTAATTTTATGTATTGACCTTGTCTCCAGTGATCTTGCTAAACTTAGTTCCAGTAGCTTTATTGTAGTATCTTGTGGATTTTCCACGTAGAAATCATGTCATCTGTAAATAAAGAGAGTGTTACTTTTTTTCTTTCTAATCTGAATGTATTTATTTCTTTTTCTTGTGCTGTTTGTTGCACTGGAATAAAACCCTCAGTAAATTCCTGGAAAGAAACAAGAGCAAACATCTTGTCAGAAAGAAAGCAATCATTCTTTCATCATTGAGATATTAGCTGCTAAGTTATTTCATCAGTGTTTTTTTTTATCAGATTGAAGATGTTCTCTTTATTCTTAATTTACTAAAAGTTTTTATTATGAATGTGTGTTTATTTTGATCAAATTCTTTTTCTGGTTCTACAAGATGATCCTATCTTGTTTTCCTTTTTTGATGAGTTGAAATGGTGAATTACATTGATTTTCAAATGTTAGAGTAACTTCACATTTCTAGGATATATCCTTAGCATAATATGTTACCCTTTTTATATATTGCTAGATTCAAATTGTTAAAAATTTCCTTTGAGACTGTTACATATATGTTTATGATACATTTTGGTCAGTAGTCTTCTGATAATGTCATCTAGTTTTGGTATCATGTTAACTTGGCCTCACAGAATGAGTTAGGAAAGAAATACTCACTTTGCTTCTATTTTCTGGAAGAGTGTGGATAGAATTTGTGTTATATTTTCCTTAAATGTCTTTAGAATTCAATAATGAAGTTATCTCAGGCTGAAGTTTTCATCATGGTCTGGTTTTTAATTATCAATTCAATTTCTTTTATAGATATGGGAAATTACCTATATCTTCTGGAGTGAGGTCTGATAGTTTATATCTTTAAAGCAGTTTGTACATTTCACCTAGGTTAAATTTATTGCTATAAAGTTACTCATAACTATATCTTTTTGTCATACCTTCTCTTTCATTCTTGATATTGATAGTCTGTGTAATTCTTTTTTTCTCGATTATGCTGTCTAGAACCTCATAAATTTTATTGATCTTCTCATAGAATTACTATTTGGTTGCATTGATTTTTCTCCATTGCTTTTCTGTTATCTATTGCATTGAATTGTGTTCTTTGTTGATTCTTCCCTTATACTTACTCCAGATTTAATTTGTTCAAGGTGGAAGCTTAGATCATTGTTTGAGACCTTTCTTATTTTCTGGCAAAAATACCTATAATGTAAGCCTGTATAACATTATATAATGCTATAACTTTCCCTTGAAGCATGCTTTAGCAACATCACTCAAGTATTTTTATGTTATCTATTCAAGTTCATTCAATTTAAAATATTTTATAATTTTACTTACTATTTCTCCTTTAACTCATGGATTATTTAATATGTGGGGATTTTTCAAGTAGCTTTCTACTACTGGTTTATAATTGAATTCTGTTACGATCAGAGAAAATACTCTATGCATTTCCATATCTCTGTACAGCACCCTTCTGTGTATTTTGCCCTGAGAAGTGTGCCTTTGCCTCCCTGCACATTGGACTCTGCCTCCTCAACTCAGAGAGATAGCTGGCCTCTGTTTGGGTATCCCTTCCCTTCACTGGGGTCTGAAAACTCCCAGACAATAACCAGGGACATTTGTTGAGCTCACCTCATTTGTTTTTATTCTCTCAGCAATCACTTTCCTGTGCTATGCATCGTATAATGTTTGAAAACCATTCTTTCATATATTTTGTCTCTTTTCCTAGTTGTTTGAAGAAGAGCAAATCTGGTCTTTTTTATTCTGTGGTTGCCAGAAGCAAGCCAGAAACTGGTTAAAGTCAATTAATCAATTGTTGCTGTTTTGAGGAATTGGTTAATTCCTCAAAACAGCAACAAACAAAATGTAACTTTAAAATGGCACCTTTTTCAGTAGCAAAAACAAGATAAAGTACCCAGTAATATATTTAACAAAAGATGTACAATTTATAGAATATAGAAAACATGATAAAACTTAATTATTTAAAATCTAAGTAAAAGGAGAGAATATAATGTTAATGGATAGGAATATTCAATAGTGTAAATTTATCTATAGATTCAGTGCAATACCAATGGAAAACTTTCTTCCAGCTTTATTAAGGTGTAATTGACATATAACATTGTGTAAGTTTAAATGTTTGGCAAAATTTTTACCAATGAAGCCATCTGGTCATGAACTTTTCCTTGTGAGAATTAGTGGAAATTTTAATAATTTTTGTTTTACATGGAACTTAGCAAGATGTTTATAAAATTTGCATGAAATAAACAAAGCACTAGGAATACCCAAGACTCACCTTAAGAAGAACCATTGCCCAACCAGATACCATGATTTATAATATGAGTCACATTTACACAATCTATTTGGATAGATTGAGTTTCTAATTTTGCCTGGATACCTACAATTTATTTCTCTGAGCCTCAGTTTCTTCATCCACATAATAATAGTGCCCACTTCACAGAGTAATGATGAGGAATAAATGAATTACCATGTAAAAAGTATGTGGAACAGTATCTGGCACAAATGTCAACATACATTAGCTATTTTTATTATTATTTAGCTCTAATTATTAAGACAACATAGCACAGGGGTAGACAAATAGATAAACAAAACATATTCAAGAATTCAGAAAACACTCACACAAAATGGGAACTAATGACAGAGCTGACATTTCAGATCCATGGGAAAGGATAGTTTATGGTGAGGTATAATTGATTGGTTGATTATCTATGTAGAAAAAAAAAAACAAATCCTTTCCTCAAACTGAAAACAAACCAAATATTCATCAACTGTAGAATGTAATATGCTCATATCATGGGCTATTTTATGAAGTGAAACTGAATGAATTACAGTCTTTCATGTACATACATATATGAATCTCAAGAAACATAATGCTGAGCTAATGGTAAATCACAGAAGAACAAATACTATTTGAGGTCATTTATATAAACTTAAAAAAAAGCAAAACCAGACAAGATAATGTTTATAGATATAGATACATTTGCAACTATGAAGAAAAACAAGAGAATCGTTAAAACTTAATCCAGAGAAGCTGTCATGTCAGGGTTTAAGGGCATGTGACCAACTGGAAATACTTGGAGGATTTCACATTTTCTTCAAATGTAGTATTTTATATCTAAAGCTTGGAAATGGGTATATGTGTGTCTTTTGTATTTTTTAACTTTACATTTTGGTATAGATCCTTTTTATTTTTTTAACATTTTTTTTATTGATTTATAATCATTTTACAATGTTGTGTCAAATTCCAGTGTAGAGCACAATTTTTCAGTTATACCTGAACATGTATATATTCATTGTCACATTTTTTTCTCTGTGAGCTACCATACGATCTTGTATACATTTCCCTGTGCTATACAGTATCATCTTCTTTATCTATTCTACAATTTTGAAATCCCAGTCTATCTCTTCCCATCCCCCCCGCCCCCTTGGCAACCACATGTCTGTGAGTCTATTTCTGTTTTGTATCTCTGCTTTGTTTTTTTTAGATTCCACATATGAGCAATCTCATATGGTATTTTCTTTG